TTTCGCGGAAAATTTTTTTGCTCCTTTTTCGATAATTTTGGTACCGATAGACTTGGCTTGACGGATGGATCACGCAGAAAACAAAAATACGGCATTTTGAGAGACGTGAGGCGAGAAAAATGACTCCAGATCAAGCCTTACAGTACTCTTAACGCACTGTGGGTCGCAGGTTCGATTCCGTAGAGCGTCAATACGTTTTGCCACATGCGATCAGCAAACAAAATGTACTCTGTTCAGATTATCAACAAGTTCAGTCCCACAGCTTTTTACTTTTCATGTTGCACTCAAAACGCGTCTAATCCTCTTGCTGAAAATCTCCTTCCCTAAGAATATCCCATTCCATGTATGAGATTGTGATATGCACCTATCCGTTACGGGCTTTTTTGAGACACTGTCGATCATCGATTGATTTCATTTCATTCGATCAGCAGTGATCAAAATAGTAGTGCATTGTGCACTTGAATGAGCGTAATGAGATAAACTGTTCGAAATTTCATTGTAATTTGGTTCGAATTATCTTTCTTTGTGAATCTTTTTAGTCACTTTCGGAGAAAATTGCCAAATAGAGCAAACGGGAATATTATCGTCATTATCCTAAAATCCAATCGAACATTGGTGTTCGATTGCTAACGAATTTTCGAATCGAAATGAATAATGAAATCAATCTAGAGCCAACATTCGAACTCCAGCCATTCATTTGAGACTCTATTGACGGCGGCTAACCATTCGGAATTTTATATTTTCTCAGATCTCAAAATCATCACTGAGAATCATTTCGTCTGAAAATCAACGCCTTCACATTGACCACAGAGCAACGATCGACGTCTTCCACTTCAACAATGACGTACATTCTTATCACGACAACAAAATTTCTTAGCGAAGCAATTGATTCCAACTCAAGCTAACAATCGCCATCNCCACTCGATCTAAATATGCGTTGCAGAAGAAATATATCCAGTAATCGCTCACTATATGCGCCCAAAATACCCTATAATCTATTCACATGCGAATTCCTCCACCACCTTTGTAACAACCAAAGAACGATGAACAGGCATAATATTACGTGGAGTGTAAACTTTAAAAAATGTTTATAAACTTGAAATCAACTTCAACAATGGTGATATTAACGTAAAATTAGAATGTTTTGGTGGAATCGACACAAAAAAGCGTTAATGCAAATTGTGACAATACGCGTAATAATATTAACAGCCATTAAAAGAATAACAAATTTAAGAAATAATAATCATACTGATGATAATGGCAATAATAGTAATAATGACAATAAAACAACTTAATGAGACGAACTTATTTCACTTCGTCAATCACTGAAATGAAGTGAAGTGAGAATCTAAAATGCTTGGCAACTGTAAATAGTTTGAACCAAGTAAGTAATCGCAATGCGTCAAAGAATGCACTGAAACAGAGTGAGATAACGATAAGCCATGTTAAAGCAACAAAACGGATATTACACGTCACGAAAACTTCGGAAATGAACCCAAAAGCACAATTTTGACACGCTCAAAAACAGATCAGTTGAACCGGCACTTCATTATGATACAATATAAAATTTTTGCTTCAAAAAAGATTAATTCCCATACAGTCAAAGTAACAAATTATTCACAAATTCTTGTGTGAATCACAAAAAACGAATACACTGAAGAAATTCTAGATGGAGACTGAGATGAAGTAAGAAACTGCATTGGAAGAGATTGATATTGGACAATTTTAAACAAAGAATCTCTCTTTACGATGAGGTGAGTAGGAATTTCGTTAACCCGTAAACGACCGAGTCAATGGATACGCGTTATTGTGTGACAATAAGATGCGATAAAATGATAATAACACACGAAAGCAGTCTCAGTATGAAAAAAATCTTCATGATATGATATGAGTGAAACCGAATGTTTAGAGTGAACTAGAATACGGAATATTAAAAAACAAATTGATTTAGTTGTGTTATACAAACGACCTTCATAATAATCATGTTACTGATAACAATATAATAATAATAATAATAATAATAATAATAATAATAATCAACAATAATAATGAATAATAGTAATAATGATAATAATAATAAACAATAATAAATATCAGCTTCGACGATAACCGTAACAATAACAATCACCAGCATATTTTCGGTTTACTCGTTAGTGACGGGTATCATCAATAAGCAGATGATGATACACTGTCAATGCACCTCACTCACGCTATCCATTGCCAATTCATATAAATCAGGAGCCGCACGACGAAGTGCCTCTTGCACATATTCGGATTTCATTATTTCACAAAGGAGGCAATATTGCAGCGAGCATTTCGACTCCTTGAATTGGTATCATTATTATTAACCATGCCAAGCATATCCTTACACATGAATGTGACGCCTTCATTCATGGTATACACAAACTATCACCAAAATTTGTCAACGAGAAACAGACGGAATGATGATCAAATTTTTTAAAAGATGTTTAGAGTGATCCTTATAACAGAAATGCGCCTAAAACTGTTTGATGCCTCACATTACAGTATAGGTTACAATGTGGTGTAACAAATTTAAAAGTAAATGAATTTGTGTAACAAAGTAAAACTATGCAAAACCTTTCTAAGTTCACCATCCGCGGATTTTGCTTCATCATTATGTTCAACAGAATTGATTTTCATCGTGGTCGCGTTCTCTTGAGTTGATGATATTTTTGGTGCAATCTTCTCAGACACTTTCCTTTGTGAAGGTTGTAATGAATCCTGGACAGAAAGAGAAATATGAGCAGAGATTTTGCATTGTCAAATTTCAGAGCATTTTCGCAATATTCATCTGGGAACGATGGTAGTTTAAATGAAAATATCGTGCTTAGAGGATTTGTTACTGCGTAAAGTAATTTCGTTTCGATACTGCTGATCATGAGGCACTCTAACTGCAATCATACCGAATTCACACTCTCAGTTGCTCGTTAACCTACTATTCTTTGCTATCTTGTGAAAACGAATCACAAATCACCAATCGAATAAAGCGGATAACTGCATTCAACTGAACTGCATTTCAGTGCTGTA